GATCTTCCTTATTCACTGTCCAGCTTTCGCATCCATATGAGGCTATTGAAAACACCATGGCCTGTGTATAAGAGTTGCTATAAATTGGATTCAACTTGATGACAGTGGCTTTGATTTTTGTTTTTTTCCTTTGTGAAAGAACACAGGTAGTGCAGTAGTTCATCCATTGTTAATAGGTCAATAGTTGAAACATAGTAATTGCTCTGCAGGAGAAAGATGTGGCTGTCTGCTTCCATAAAGATTGTTGTTAAGTGTCAATGATTTCTAGCTGCTACATTTTATTTTTCTTTACTTCATTTATCCCCCCTAATCAAATATACATAAAATTTATGCTATTTTCTTTGTGAATAAAAATTTATCATCATTATTGATTAAATTAGATGACATTTCAGACAATAATGCTGAGATCGATGAGCATATGTAATGTTAATAGCCCAAAGTGGGGACTTTTTGTTACACTTTACTTGAACTCTAGGTCCTATGTAATTTTTTCAACCATGAAGTTCTTACTTGAAGTGTATACTTTTCTTTATTGTTCAGTGGGCCTACATTACATTTAAGTGATTATTTTGTCTAATTAGATTACTTATTTAAAAATTAAAACAAAGTAAACCTTCACATGCATGCTTTGGCTCTTTGACTATTTGAATTGAATGCATTTTCTTGAAATTGGAAATAGAAAACATTGTTGTATTGTAAGATATCTATATATATATATAAAATTCCAAAGATACTAAGTTTTATAGATTATAAAAACAGCCATAGAATAGGAAAATGGAAAATTGCATTAACTAGGTAGATATATGATTTTAGGCCATAAGTAGTCATTGCTTTCATTTGTTCATAATTCTTGATTTATCTATGGTAATATTTAGATCAAATTCTTATGACTAGTCCAAAAATGACAAAAAGAAGACAGTTTCCTTTTATCAGAATTCCTCTGTGGCAAATTTTAAGATTTTTAACCATGGGTGCAAAGCATTATGAAATATGTTAGTCCTTACTATCCTATGTGTGTTACATTCTCAAAAGAGAAAACATGAAATTAAACATAAAACTGAGGCTTGCAGCCAGCACATGGTAAATAGAGCATTGTTTTTGTTGTTCAGTGTCTTTGAGTCGATTCTGACCCATAGTGACTCTTTAAAGGGTTTCCAAGGAACCTCTGGTGAGCTTGAACCACCAACCTTGCAGTTCAAACAACTTTGCAGTGTGATGCATTAGCCCACAGCGCCATACCAGGTTGTTGTTAGGTGCTGTGAAATTGGTTTTAACTCTTATAGTATAAACAATACTGTTTGAATTCTTTGTGTGTTCAAGAAATATATTTTCAAGCTTATAAAATATCTAGGTAAAACTATTATGTTTATTTTACTACTCCATTTAATAGTTTTTTTGAGTTTTGAAAAATAAATCTTTTACTTCTCTTATTTGTGTTTTAACTTATTTGGTATTGTGAATAGAAGCATACATTGTAGTATTTCCTTAACAAATTTATCATCCCTGTTATATTTGGAGACAGAACCCTACCCATGGAGTGTTTAAGTAAACTGAAAGTTTAGTGGTTGAAATCCATGAAACCACTCTTTGTTGGGAAGATGTAGCAGTCTGCTTCCATATAACTTTTTTACCCTTGGATACACTATGTGGCCGGTGTATTCTGCCTTATAGGTTCTCTGTGAGTTGGAATCAGCTCAACAATTATTACATTTAGCAAAATGGAAAATCCTGTTAAGGCTTTTTTTTTTTTTTACGTTTCTATTGTGAATTATGTGGGTTTACATGGGAGAACATCAGTTTTACATTCATCTTATCGTATTTCGTTTCATTGCAATGATTACAATCCCCTCCATGCATCATCAAACACTAAAGGGTATACCCCCACAGGTTTGCCTCCCCCGCGTCAGTACACAGCCCCTCTCCTTCCCTGAGTCCAGTGTCCCCAGTCATTCTATCTGTCCACATCATC